ATTTCCAATGACACCCTCGAAGCTGTCGTTCGGAATTTCGTTGTTCGACTGCATCGCATGATTGCAAAGAAGGGTACCCACATCGAGCATGTCATGACATAATCTCCCTAAGTTTAAGTTCACAATACCATTTGAATTTTCTTCCTAACTATTGTAGAATTCGAGAAATGAATTTTTCTTTTGGGAGCGTCCATTATTTGTCACCCTGTAATATGAGAGAGAGGCGTTCTATGCACACCCCCTCACCACCCCCTCCCCCTTCCTACTTAAGGGGTGTTCACCATCCAATACGGACTTTTCCGCTGGGACAAGTAAAACGTCCCACGTATTACTGTACACTTGGAGGAAGGATGCATGAAAAGTGATGGAGATGGACTTTACAGCCGAAGCGGACAGGGTTGTGATCGATAGGAAAAGTACCAATCGATAAAAGAGGTCGGGATTTCGATGAATGTATGGGCGATGATTTCACACCGACGAGGAAATAATCCTTCCTTCAGCTGAATTGAAGGGTTATACGCGGGGACGTATAAAGAATGGGAAAGGGGGTCTGCTATCTATAGCGATGAGAGGGTCACTGAGTTTTAGGGCCGTGAATGAACCCGGGAGTCGGCTAATTAATAATATTCTCGTACGAAAGCCGGTCCTGGAACCTTGTGAAGACCCCTCCTAAGCTCTACATGTCGTTCATTCATAGTTAATCCTCGCCACATGGCGCATGTGGCCATGCGCGCTGCATTCATAGTTCCCACCGTGCCCTTCCGATTCAAGGCACGGGAACTCAATCGAAGCGAAAGTGAATGACTTCCACGAGCGGGCGGAGCATGCTCTCCTTTCCTCCGTCAGCCACCGCTCAGAGTAGAGAGGTGCGCGAGAGTCCTTTTCCGTGCGGTCTGTCTTTGAGACGAACCGATCGGTTTCCTTCTGGATTCTACCTACTCCCGTTAAAAATTAGCCAAGAACAATCTCGACACCGACGCAGTCCGACTCCTCTTTCGTAAAAAAAAAGTATCACCATTCCAAGAAGAAATGAGAGAGATGGGAGAGAAGCTGGGGAATTACGAACTCTCCCATCTTCCCTCGATTGCCCTGTTGAAACTCCTGTGAGTCATCATCATTCATTGTATGCTGAATCAAAGGAACGAAAAGAGTTTTTCAACGATGTTGTAATCAGGTAACGAAGGTTCAAGACAAAAAAATACTATCACCCTGGATTCCCGAGGGATTGCGAAGTTCTGAGGAATAGGAATGATTGTCATGCTACGAATGATTACGTATGATGGATGTGAATCCTATAAAGTGGAAAGAGAATACTGATTTTTTCGCGAAAGCGACAAGTAAAACGTGAAGGCCACAAAGGCAGATACAATTCAATTTCTCCTCCAGTGGATTACCTCCGCATATCCGACTTCGGACCGCGACCCTGAATTTTCCGATCCCGCTCAGGCCTCCACCGCGATCCCTCGCTCTCGCGGCATGCGGCACATGCGCAGTCGAGAGAAGGTCAGGGCTTCCACCTCATGAATCGATGTCTTCTCGTTGCATCATGCTCATTGCCTCGCATTGCACCATCCGGGCGCGGAGGGCCGTCTCTCGTACTCTCGCCGCACAGAGTGAGAAGACGGTGGTCGGTAGATGTCTCGTAGAAGTACTTATCATCCGCTTAGTGTACTTCGTCTTCCGTGCAATACCGCCAATAATACTGCAATACCAATAATAAGTCCTCATGTTCGTTGATCCGGCCTTTCAAAGGTAGATTATCTCTCACCACGTTTTCTTACTATCTTGCCTGTTGTGTCTTCGGCCTTGAGTCGGTCCTTAACCCGTTAACCTCAGGCTGGTCCATTGATGGCAGCCAATGCATCTACCACCACATAATTTATGCTCGCATGATGGCATTCGGCTCGTTTGTCAAATAATCAACGCATGCCCATGAATATTCACTCGCCAAAGAGAATCTCACCAAAGAATGACGGCTGGTTTAACCCTTTGCGGTCATATTTATTTTCAACTAGTTGTCCCCTCAGGTCATATTTAATTTCAATGAAAAAATATAAAAACACATTTTAACTGATCATTTCAAATGCTGGTCGGTAGATGGATAAATACAATCGGTAGATGTCGTGTGAAGTAAAATATCGTAATAAATGGCGGGAAAACACCCGACATATGACCGGAACTAATCTTTTTTTGTCGGGACCTGCCCGACACATGACCACAAAGGGTTAAAAAGACAACTTCTCATTCCGAACTTTTCCGACTCGAATAGTATGAATGGTTTCACTCACGAACGTATCTGCCATGCAAAATAAATAAATCTCCTTAATGTAGCCAACATGCACGTGACCACGAAATTAACTCGGCCGTGTCTCTCTCATCCAGACTGAAAGCCAGAGAGTGTTCATCGCTGGATAGAGCGGAACGTCAGTCGCGACCGAGTCCTCCGTCCCGCAATCTCCGCCTCCCGAAGGAAAAATATCCGCATTCCGCGGATATTGCGAATCTCCATTCTGGGTGGGTTTCCCGATCGGGTGGTAAATGTGAGGGTTTCTGCGACCTCCAGGGAACGTTCTTCCCATTGGACACTTCTTTGGTTTTGTTTGAGGCTATGGGAGAATGAATCGCAACATCAGGTGCCCTTAAGGTATGCGACAAAAAAGAATGGCTCAAGTCGAGACAGGGTAGACCGAAAAACTCATTTTCCACGCGATTGCGATACTTAATCAAATTGGCACGCGACCTCATAACTTCGAGGATGTTTCGTCCTGCTCTTGCCAGATTCCGCGAAATCCACTTGAAGAAAATGCTACCAATAGTTTTACTACAACATATTTATTTACTCCATTTACAATCGCAGTTTCGAGCAAATTATATTCGAGGGTAGATATTTAAGATTATCTTGGAGCTCACGGTACCAGTTATTGACAGGACACTTTTGGCATTGCTTTCGATCATTTTTAGCAATTTAAATTCTGGAAATTATCTATCGCTGTAGCAATTAACGTCATTCACGAGCTCATCAATGAAGAAATAAGAAATTAAAGACACTTAAAATAATAATATATAAGATATAAGTAATAAATTAATTAAGCAAAATCTCATGGAATAAATCAAACAAAATTACGATTATTTACTTTGCCTAATGCGAAATATGAATTTTTTTGGCATTGAAACGAATTTTACTACATCAAGAAAGACTGAGACTGCATATGTCTCCCATTAACCACATGAACGAGCATCAAATATTACGCACACAGTGATAAAAAAAATTAATAAGGCGACATCCTTTTTAGCCTCCCTGCAACCGACCAATGATTAGATGCCAGTCTTTCACTTTATAAAGCACGCGGAAAGGGAGGCTTTCCCGCGGGAAGCTGCGGTACGCACCGGGCAAAGTCGGGCGTGATCCCACGTGATTCTACGTGGTAGGTACGCGCATAGGTCGAATTTAAATCAGATTCATTTTGCTGAATTTTCCCATGTCCTTCCGTTTTTCATTTCCTACCAGGAAAGCAATCGAAATTATTTTATTTAAAAAATCTCGAAAAAGGCTGGATACCAACAGAGTGGCCATATTTTAAATGTTATGGGTTATATAGTTTCATATTGATTAGTTTCAGGTGCTTTTCTTCCATATTTTCGATGCTGAAGAAATGTTGCTTTTCACACAGGATGCGAATCTGACGTGGTACACGGAAATCCCGGATGTGACCCCATGCTTCCTGAACACAGTATTGCTGTGGGTCCCATGCGGATGGCTCTGGGTCATGGCAGCGTTAGAAATCCACTACCTCTTCGCGAGCGTCGGGAAATACATCCCATGGACGAAGTTGAATGTGTCCAAGTTGGTACGTCCCCAGTTCAATTCATCAGTACTCACAAGCGAATCAGCTGTCATGTTAGAGCTTCGACGATAGAGATGAAATTGGACGCATAAAACATATCTGTGTCTAAAATATATTCAACACAATATCTACAAGTAGATGAGTTTAGCGTTCGTTCTCGAAAAATTGCAAGAACATGAAAAGGATATGTCTCCCATTCTTACACGAGGAATTCCCTCAGGCAGAAGGCAAGCGATCGAGTACAAAATCTCTTCCTTTGCAGCTTCTGGCCTCTGGGTTGTTGGTCCTTCATGCGGCGGATCTGGTCCGCGCAATTGCCTCGCATCGGTCTGCGCCTGTGTTCTACTTCACGCCTGTGATACTCGTTCTTACCATGGTGAGTTCGATCATTCCCTTCTCAAACTCATTCACCCCCGTGTCAAGATACCGGTACTTTCTTTTAATTTTCTTGTGTGACGCAAGTGTCAAATGATAGTTACGGATGCGCTGCATATTTCTGGCCGCAAAAAAAAGCACCTTGAGAAACATCCCTTACGAAAATGCCTTATAGGATTCCTATTTATTCCTTTAGAAATATATAGGAATCCTATAGGAGCCTAAAGGAATCCTTTAGGTTCCTATATGCCCCATAGAGTTCAGTTTGGGACCTATAGAGTTCCCTATAGAACCTATAGGGTTCCTCATAAGGCCTATTGGTTCCCTATAGGACCCAAAGGGTTCTGTATAGGACCAGTAGGGTTACCTATAAAACCTATAGGGTTCCCTATAGGACCTGTAGGGTTCGCTATAGGACCATTAGGATTCTCTATAGAACCTATATGGTTCCCTTTAGGGCCTATACGGAACCCTATAGGACCTATAAGACCTATAGGGTTCCCTATAGGGCTTATATGGAACCCTATAGGCCTATAGGGTTCTGGTTGAAGTTCTCCTATAGGCCACTAGATGGAAGTTTAGGGTTCTCGCATTTCACAAAGGGCACAAAAGCGCCCTCCCACTACCCAAGGAATCATCTCTCACAAGAGAGTTTTGTACGTCCCCAAATGTCTCGGCTTGCCTCATTGTAGCAATCAATAAACTTCGACAGTTCCTTATTTGTCATCCTCATCTTCCAGATAGAATCATGGAGTCCATGCAAGAAATATGCCCTTATTCCTTTTGAAAGCCACGTACGAAGTCTGAGTAGACTTTATCCAAATGGTATTTCAGTAAAGAGACGTGCTCGCAGGTTCTGTCGTCTATTTCCTTAGGTCGAGAGAAGAATATTACTTCTCTTTACCAAATGAAGCAGACGTGCAATCCTGCGACGAATGTGGGGTGGGGCCATTAATTATGCAGGCCCCCGCAGTACAGGTATTAATAATGCGTGTGTCCCTACCGTGAAAATACCGCTAATCGGTTTTTTATTTACACCGAAATGCTGCGCCAATATTAACCCTGGTCGCCTTTTCCGTCGTAATGCCTGTGTTTCGAAACCAAAAAATCCTCCCCGAATCCTATAGTCCTATAAGACCCTGTAGGGATCCTATAGGATCCTATAGGTTTTTCGTGTTTCAAAAACCTATAGGAAAGTCAAAATGTTTCCTATAAGAAATAACTATAGGTTTCCTATAGGACATTTCTGTAAGGGATATCTTCAAGAAACTAAATACCATTTATTTTTCCGAAAATCTCGCAGGTTAGAAAAGAAACAATCGCGAAAAATATTGTTTGGTCAACGTGCGATATCAGATCGTGTATAATTCCAGGAACTGAGATGATAATCACGGATTTCATGTTTCAGGCTCTTGTTTGCTTGCTCACGTACATGGAGAAGAGGAGAGGAATTCATACGTCGGGGATCTTCCTCATTTTCTGGGCGCTTCTTTTTCTCAGGGGATCCATATCTCTCTGGAGTCAAATTCTCCACATGTATCACGAGGTGACGTTAATAATTTCATTCGGGGAATTATGACACCCTATAATAAGGGGAATTTTCGATCGCAGAAGGACAGGAGCGGAGTGTCATTCGCCTTTGTGGCAGTCATGATAGAATTTCCACTCGTAACAGCTGAACTTTTCCTATATTGCTTCGCCGATGCAAGACCAATATATTCGAGGATCGCTGCCGTTTCCGAAGTGAGTGACTCCTTCCTTTCTCGATTGCAATTTGTGACTTGGTTCATTGCCAGTGGTGACGCTCTGCAGAATCCATCGCCGGAGAAGCACGCGTCTTTCTTGTCTCGGCTTGGGTTCTCGTGGTTCACGGGACTCATTCGGCTCGGGTGGAGACGTCCTCTGACTTTCAGCGATCAGTGGGACCTCGATCCCGAAGATGCATCGAAAAGAGTCGTTGAAACATTCGAGAGAAACGTTAAAGCGCAGGATGAATCGAGGGGCTCTCAAAGGTTCGTATACAAAATTGGTTTAAAAAAAAAAAAAGCTTCTTGAAGCGGGCATGTTGGATATGCTTCGCTGTCTTTTTCCATCGCTCTGCACTTCCTTGCGAATTGCCGGGGAAAAATTAAGGAAGCCGCTGTTAATGTATATCCACGCGCTGGTGCTTCCATAGGAGCACAACAGATGATGTGGGAGTGACCAAGCCCGAAAGGAGATTTTCAATCCTGCGTCCTTTGTGGAGGACACACGGAACCGCGTTACTCTTTACCGGATTCCTCATGTTCCTTGGAGACATGATAGGCTTCGCGAATCCGCTGCTGCTCCAGTGAGGCCACTTCCAAATTGTACAGTCACATCCATCCTCAGGATAATCTCTACGGAGGATGCCACTTCGTCTTCCTTTCCAGACAGATGGTCTCATTCGTGAACGGAAAGGCTCCTCTGTGGCAAGGCTGCTTCTTCGCACTCGGGTTGCTTATCGCTTCCACCCTGCAGGCCCTCCTCTACGCGCCGTACTTCCAGAAGTGCATGGTGATTGGGGTCCGAGCTGCAGCAGCCATCATTGCAGCTATCTACAAGAAGGTGGTCATCTCTACAAATCCACATATTTGATTGAGAATCATCATTGCGCATATTGATATTGACTTCATTACTTCCAGTCCCTGCGCTTGTCGCCCGCGGCTCGCAGGGAATCAACTGTCGGGGAGATGGTGAACTTGATATCAGTAGATGCAAAACGATACCAGGATATTTCTGTGGACTTGACCTTGTTCTTCACTCTTCCAATTCAACTTGGAATTTCATTCTATCTTCTCTGGGTTCAACTCGGTATTCCTTGTTACAATGAATAAATCATTTTATTTTCACGATTAGCGAATTTGGAAAATATTAGCCGTCGGAATAATCCAAACGTTGATGTTATTTGCAGGTCCCTCCCTCTTGGCTGGAATAGGAGTGATCGCCGTCGCAATTCCAATCAATAGTGTTATAGCTGCTCGCTTCCAGAAACTCCAAGTGCAGCAAATGAAAGAGCAGGATGAAAAAGTGAAACTCATGAGTGAAGTTCTCAATGGCATCAAGGTTCTGAACAAGATGCGACAATTTTGTTTATGCTTCACTTTTTAAAGATAGACAATAGTTTCATTGTTTTGTAGGGTGCTGAAGTTTTATGCGTGGGAGGTCCCATTCCAGGAGCGTATCATGGGCATACGAGAAAGGGAAATACGCTTGCTTCGGCAAAATGCGTACTTTTCCTCGATAACTTCATTCCTCTGGAATTGCACTCCGTTTCTGATAATCATTCAATTCGTCGTGGTCTCAGTGGTCGTTTTTATATTAATTTCCTTTCGTGAAATTCCTTCTTTCTTCTGACAAGTATGTTTGGCATCTCTTGCTACACTTGTGCTGATCGACTCGACCCACGTCCTCGATGCCTCCACTGCATTTGTGTCCTTGAGCCTTTTCAGAACTGTGCAGTTTCCTTTGACGTACTTGCCGTATCTCACGTCTGAGCTGATTCACGTAAGTATTTTCCCTGGCTTGGTGCATTGATGCTTGAATATCAAGTTTATTGGAAGCGGTCTTCTTTGCAGACCATTGTGTCCGTCAAAAGGATAAATAAGTTCATGAATGCACATGAATTAGATCCCAATAATGTATTGCGCGAAGGAAATCCAAGAACAGGTATGTGTTATTTGGAGTTGAATATTCAAATTGGAGTATCTTTAGTAGTCTTGACATATAAATTGATGGATATGAAATTTATTAAAAAAGCATGTGCTGTTTCGATCGAAAATGGAACGTTCACCTGGGCCAAGGATGAGCCACCTGTCCTTACGGACCTTCAACTGGAAATCCCAATGGGGCAGTTGGTTGCAGTAGTTGGACAAGTTGGTTCCGAAAATCCTCTCTGCTTTCAGCCTTCCTTGGCGACATGGAGAAGGTTTCGGGCCTCGTACACGTCAAGGTAGGCCTGGTTTCGATAACTTTCAGGTACAATATCCATCGCTTATTGTGATCACTGGTTATTCTTTATCAACATGATCATGTAATGAAATGGCGGAAACTAAAACCAAATCACCTTTTTCACGCATATGCTCATGCCATTTACGTGATCCCCGTCGCGGCATGGTGAGATTAAGAACCACAATCGTGTCCGACCGCTATCAGTAATGACCGAAGGTCATAAAGGGAATGAATATCATATCATAATCATACATAATATCATAATCTCTCCACGGGGCAGAGGAACACGTCACTCCTGACTGCAACCTGGAATATGAAAACCGTTGCTGTTGTACAGTTTTTAATTATTATTGAGAATCCCATAAATAATCGGAGAACATCCCAAGCATCCCGAGATCATGCCCTTCTTTTCATGCCCTTCGCTGTAAATTCCAAGCTGCGTTCACGGCGAATTCCGAAGCTGTCTTCGTCTTCTTTGAAGCAGCATTAATGACATGACCAATGTTGCTGGACTTCTCAGCATGACGGTGAAGTCGACATTGAAGAGTCCGTCTGAATCACCGATTTTCCATCCCTCAAAAAATTGTATAATATTTGAGTCAACCTGTAATGAAGTCTGATGACCTACATGGAAACATAGATTCCGCTGCCACCACTCAGATGATTTTTGGTAATTACTCCAATCATGAAAGACGATTTGAGAAATAATTTAGGAAAATTTGGATTTTCCTCGATCGGAAAAGAAACTCAAGAAAGAGAGAATCAAACAGTCCACGGAGAGTGTGAAATTGTTCCTTTCGTGTTTCTGAAGCCAATGTATCCTTTTTCAGGATTATCAGGATTATCATTTTAATGGGAGGGTCTCTGGGATAACATATAAAAAATACCTTAAGCTGCAGAGTTAAAAGTTACCAGTATTTCGATATTAAAACAGGGGGAGGTGGCATATGTCCCTCAAGAAGCCTGGATCCGCAATGCAACATTGAAGAGCAATGTTTTGTTTGGGAAAACATACGATGAGACAGTTTACAAGGAGATTCTTAAAGCCTGCGCCCTGGAACAGGATTTGGCCATATTGCCAGCTGGCGACATGACAGAAATTGGGGAGAAAGTATGTCGCTTCGGATCTTCCAGTTCAATGAAACACGGACTTTTACGCTCTGATATGTTACTTTAGGGCATTAATCTGAGTGGAGGACAGAAGCAGAGAGTGAGTCTGGCCAGGGCAGTCTACAGCGATGAGGATGTTTACCTCATGGATGACCCTCTCAGCGCTGTTGACAGTCACGTAGGAAAGCACCTCTTCCAACAAGTTATTGGGCCTGAAAGATTATTGAATAGGAAGGTTTAGATGTTTTTGCAAATTTGAAAGATGCCATTGAAGAAGCATCTTTACTGAATATGTATCTTTCTTCTCAGACACGAGTGCTTGTGACACACGGAATTACCCACCTGCCGCAAACTGACCTAATCATAATGATGAAAGATGGTAGAATAATAGAGGCAGGGGGATATCGGCAGTTGATTGAGAAGAAAGGAGCCTTCTATGATTTTATAATCCAGTTTCTCTCTCAAGAAGAAGGAGAAGATTCAGGTCTGCCTAAAGTATCATTGTCCGTCTTGCAATCATGGTTGTCTTGCCAAGAAATGTTCCCTGCCATTGTCCAGAAGACGAGTTGGAGGAAATTAAACACGTAGTCGAGATCGTCACGGGGAAGAAAATAATAGTCCGACGAAGATCAAGACATCAGTCAAAAGTTTCCGAGAGTGAAAGTGGGAGATCAGTACCGGATAGGTACGTCATCCTGAATGTCTTTGGTTCATATTTACATATCCTCGTCATATTTTATATGCTCCGTCCTGTTGTGAGATTCCAAAAGAAGAAGACAGAATATTACATCCTAATGGTGAAGGACGCCTCATTCAAGATGAAACGACAGAAAAAGGAAGGGTAGGGACAGTGGCATTTGCTCATCATTACTTTCAATTGCTTCCGAACTTAGTTACTCTTTCCATAATTCCTTTTGGGATGCATTTCTGTTCAGGTGAAGTAGTCGGTGTACCTGTACTTACTGAAGAGCATGGGCCTGTATTCGTCTTTGGTCATGATCCTCATGTATGGCATGAGTCAGGGACTTCTGGTCGGTTCAAATTTGTGGCTATCCAGATTGTCCGATCAGGCCTTTTTGAATGGTACAGTCAACGACTCAGAAAGGTACAAATATCTTGGAGTCTACACTGCACTTGGACTCTCCCACGGTGAGTCTCATCCATTCTTGTAGATGCCGGTTCCTTGCATGAAACAGTTTGAGTGGCGATTAAGGACCCAGTCGTCATCATAGCTGGTGTGTTTGCCCTGGCCGCCTTGATGATTTGGGTATTGGTTTGTGAGGCTGGGCGGAAACTTCATTGGCATGAAGTTTCCGCCCAGCCTCCGAAACGTCCTGAGAAACTCCCAAAAATTCTTCGATACGAATCCTGTCGGAAGAATTCTTAATCTATTTTCGCAGGATGTTTCAAGCGTGGACGAAGGCATTGCCCTATTCTTAGAAGACGTCCTCATCTCTGCCTTTGAGGTAAAGCTTGGAAGTCATAGCAAGGGATGATATTGCTATTGTGTGGAGATTGAGGGGACATTTTGAACCTTTTCTCCTTAGGTCGTTGGCGCCCTAATGATAAATATATACGCTACTCCATGGTTCCTTGTTGCCATCGGCCCTATCATCATTGTGTACTATTTTGTGCAGGTTAAGAAAGTTCCCAGAAAGAACTACTAATGCATTCAAGTTTTCAATTATTATCCATTCAATTTTTTGCAGAACATGTACGTCTCAACATCAAGGCAGCTGAAAAGGCTCGAATCAGTATCGCGATCCCTTATCTACTCGCATTTTGGAGAGACTGTGAATGGAATCTCCTCCATCCGAGCATACAGGAGAGAGGAACAGTTCATCCGAGAATCCGCGGATGCAGTCGACCATAATAATCAGCGTCAATATCCGGAAGTCACTGCTGCTAGGTACTGTATTTGTGGCATTCGCTACCTTTCGCTACCTAAAATACGGCTTCCATTGTTATTATTTGAATGCCCACATCATACCGTGTAAGACACTGTCGTGATCATAACATAATATTTCGTAAATGTGTCCTGAAGTGTTATGTTATATATCCCATATTGGAATCAATCTTACAATGTAATGCCAGAAAGACATTTTAATATTGAACTTACCGACTGATTAATACGCATTAGAAAGCATACCGGTATCAGTTGGTCTCGAAAATGTTGGTCATTGGTCATTTTTCGTGGTTTTTTCAAATGTCGAAACAAAATTAATCCAGGTAAAGCTTGACAAATTCGCAATATTTAGTCATAAATCAAAACCTGATGAAAATGTTTCTTTAATTAGCATATCTAAATGAAAAGAGAAATCCTTCTTTCATCAACCATTCCTCTTCATTACATCTGGTTGAGAGTCAGACTTGAAGTACTTGCAGGCGTTTAAACATTCATTGCGTCCCTTCTTGCGGTGTTTGGAAGGGGATCCTTGACCCCTGCCATGGCTGGTTTGTCCATCTCCTACGCAATGTCTGTCAGTTCCTTTCGTCGTTCCATCTAAAAATGACGCCAATAAGTTTGAACGGATGCCATTCACTGGAATATTGACTTCTAGGTTTCGAGAACTTTCAATTGGTTGGCGCGCAATGTGGCTGTGGTAAAAACAAACATTGTGTCGATGGAATGAATCAAAGAATATTCTGAGACACCAACTGAGGCCGCATGGGAAATCCCAGAAAAGAAGCCAAAGGAAGACTGGCCTCAAGAAGGAAATATTTCCTTCCTCGTCAATGTTGATGTACGTGTATTGCAGCCTCACAATGTTCTCTATTTCAGCCACCTGTGGCAGATTGATTGAGATCAGTGCATTTATTGACGCATCGCCTGCGTGGCAACTTTTCCACCTACGCGTCTCCTCATCTCTTAATGGGGCTAAAGCTATTCGCAGTCAATCTTTTACTCCGAGTCCCAAACTAGACAATGTGCATGGGACGCCATGAGCAGCAGACATTATTCCTAGCAAGGTGTGGTAGGAACACCGTGAACTCTCAATTGAAATCTGTAGTTTATTTAAAACACGCGCAAGGGCGAGGGGTGTTGGTTCCAGAAATCAACGAAGGAAACAATAGAAGAAGCAAAGCTTGTGGCTATGCAATCGATGAAGCTCTCCTGACAGACAACCGCAGTGGCCTATGGATCTGGTTTTTGTTGTCTGAATGTCTGCCTGCCATAAGCAGAAATCCTTCCTGAATCCCCACAGATTTGTAGTTGAAATTTCTCTTGAAGCCTACCTTCCCTTACAATATCTTTGATCAACAAGATGTTTTGGTAAACAGCAATACCTTGCACGGTCCCCGATATAAAAAATGTACTCATGCAATACTAAGAAACACTTTTCAACTTTTGTTGAAATACATAATTAGTTCTTTGTTCCTTCATACAAATTTACTTCATGTTACGCTTTCGCAATTACATAAATATGTGCAAATAAAAATGTATAAAGGGAAAAAGTGGCTATTTTGTTATTGAAAAGAAAGATTTAAGGGAAATTATTCATCACATTATGTCTTACTTATATTTTTCTTCCTTCGAAAACCCCTCACTCATTCTTATATTCCATGTATAAAGCAACTTAGAAGGAATTGTGAAAATCGCATCGTTGCCATATTCTTAAATGTTCTTTATCATGTCATTTCCTGTTCAAAGTCTGCATTTCAAATGCAGACTTGGCTATATGCGGTCAAGACAAATAAATAGAATAATGAACTCTTTTCTCTCAGGGCGAGGTGGCATACGTCTCTCAGGAAGCTTGGATTCGCAATGCTCCAATAAAGGACAATATATTATTTGGGAAAGCATATAACGAGGCTTTCTACATGGATATTGTGTCAGCCTGTGCTCTGGAAGAGGACCTGGCCACTTTTCCTGCTGGTGATATGACTGAAATTGGGGAAAAGTATTACATTTAACGGGAAAATCTCCGATGATCCACGGAACAGAGAATCTTCCACTCCGGCTTTTTTCACGAAGGGCATTAATCTGAGTGGAGGACAGAAGCAGAGAGTGAGTCTTGCCAGGGCAGTCTACAGCGATGCGGATGTTTACCTCATGGATGACCTTCTCAGCGCTGTTGACAGTGACGTGGGAAAGCACCTCTTCCAGCGAGTCATCGGTCCCCTGGGACTCCTCAAGAACAAAGTAGGTGTCGTCCAAGCTGAAATAGATGTTTTTAAGGTTTTGTATTCGTGTGAAGTTCTTGTTCACACAGACACGAGTACTTGTGACGCACGGAATTTCGCACCTCCCACAAATGGACCTAATCATCATGATGAAAGACGGCAAAATCGTAGAAACAGGAACTTATCGGAAGTTGGTTCAAGGAAAAGGAGCATTTTCGAATTTTGTCCTCCAGTTCCTTTCCGAAGAGGAAGGAGATGATTCGGAAGGTCCATGATGCCATCACCTTTTTGTTTTCGATGACTGTATTGTGGCAGAAAATTTATATGATGATGATCCGCATATAATGGCGTTCAAGATGAATTAGAAGAAATCAAACACGAAGTTGAGACTGTCACGGGACAAAATATTATTCCCAAGAAGAGAACAAGGAATCAATCAACACTTTCTGAGAGCGAACGGAAATCTCCATTCAGGCATGGCACCCATAATTTCATTCTAATTCAGTGTTATAATGCTCTGATGTACAGCTTCAATATTTTTATTATCTTGCACACATTTTGCTACCACATTTTGCTACTAGTGACAGATAAGGCGAAGAAAAAGAAGTGTCCACTCTAACAACTGCCGCAAATAATGGTCGGCTCATCGAGGAGGAAATGGCAGAGAAAGGGCGGGTAAGAAAATGAGAAGAATTTCATTTGTATTTCTATGTAAATTTCATAGTTCATCGATTGGGAATTCTTTTCAGGTGAAGTGGCGAGTGTATGCATACTTCCTGAAAAGCATGGGCCTCTATTCGTCCCTGGTATCGATTTTCATGTATGGAATCAGTGAAGGATTTCTGATGGGTTCTAACATGGCACTCTCCAGATGGCCCGATGAAGCTTCCCAGAATCGCTCCATGGAAGCATCTGAAAGAGATGCACACATTGGAGTGTACACGGCGCTTGGAGTCTGCTACGGTGAGTGTAATGAAGGAGGTTCCTTCGCTTACATCGAACTTCTTCTATGATATGTGATTCCGCACGCATTCATGGGCGTAGCTGGTACATTCGCCTTGGCCTCCGTCATGCTGTGGACTTTGGTTTGCGTGGCTGGGCGAAAACTTCATCGGAACTGCCTCCAAAATATCCTAAGAAACCATCTTAAATTCTTCGGTACGACTCCAACGGGACGGATTTTAAACAGATTCTCTCAGGATATTTCATGTGTGGGCGAAGGCATCACTCAACCCATGGAGGATGGAGTGAGTTGTGCATTTGAGGTAAGGAAATATGTGATTCAAAAGACGACATCAATTGTCTCCAGGATGACCATATTTGGTGGTATTTTGTTCCATTGCAGGTAATATGCGCCGTAATGGTGATTGCGTATGCTTTCCCTTGGTTCCTCGTCGCTGTTGTCCCCATCTTCACTGTTTACTACCTAGCCCAGGTAAATAAAATAAGAGAATTCTGATGAGAAAATGAACATTTCAATTTAAATTATCATTTCCCTGTCCATTTCCAGGACATATACGTCTCAACAGCACGACAACTCAGGCGACTTGAAGCTATCTGGCGATCCCCCATCTATTCCCATTTCACTCCGACTGTAGCCGGGATTTCCTCCATACCAGCATACAAACGAGAGGAACAGTTCATCAGAGAATCAGAGGAAGGAGTCGACCGCAATAATAAGTGCCAATATCCGCTAATCACATCCCTCAGGTGCATTCCCTTGAACCATTCATATCTTCTAAACGACTGTGACCGGATTTTCTTACATATTGCTACACTTTTTCTTGCAAAAAAAGGTTATTACCATTGATTAGCAATCACGTCCGCAAATTCTGCATCAAATCCCACAAAGATATTGCGCAGCCTTTTACTTCAGAGCCAATTTCTTTGAATTCTGTATTTAAAAAAATTGAAATCGCCAATGGAGTCGATATGCTTAGGTTTGAAGAGAGGAAGACAGTTGATATCTCTCATAATATTCCATTCATTATTGTACATTTTTCTTCACCATCTTTACCGGATTTACGGCTTAACAGAAGCCTGATGTATTATTAGTTTTGATGGAGTAATATTATTTTCGAAGCACCTGATTAATGAATTATTAGCACATCACCAAAAATGCCTCATAAAAGATTCAGAGATATTGGGAGAGATTTACTTTTTAGTTAATTTGAAAATCAGATTTTTTCATGAGTTTCTTATTCTCTATAGTTGGCTGAGGGTCCGACTTGAGGCACTGGGTGGCATTATAACATTAGTAGCGTCCCTCCTTGCCGTCTTTGGAAGAGATTCCTTGAGTCCTGCCCTTGCTGGTCTGTGTATCACCTACGCCATGTCTGTCAGTCCCTTTCACCGTCCCGCTATATGATGTCGACGATGAAGAATCAGATCTACATTTCCCAATCTGATATATAGGTTTCGAAACCGGTCAACTGGCTGGCACACATGATGGCTGAGGTAGAAACTAGCATTGTGGGTGTGGAAAGAATCGAAGAATACTGTGAGACACCAGTCGAGGCCCTGTGGGAGATCCCAGAGAAGAAGCCAAAGGATGACTGGCCTCAGGAAGGAACTATTTCCTTTCGAGAATACCAGACAAGATACCGAGACGGTCTGGAACTAGTTCTCAAAGGTGTCTCCATCGACATAAAAGGTGGAGAGAAGGTGAGCTCACGGAGACTCATGTCGAGTTTCGACATCATAAAAAGCTGGCAATATTTTATCTATAGAATGCTGACAATATTTATTAAATATTTATGCTGAAACTAAGAAAAAAATGGAAAAGACGCGATAAAGAATGGAGAAGGCAATGCTAAACGCAACCTCAGTAGCGCTTTTCTACACCCTTGATTGCGAAACATCATTGGACCAAACAAAGCAAATCATCGACGAAGTGCTTGGGCTGTGCTTGGTTACCAACAATAATCTGAGACATGACCTGACTGAGCCAGAGGAAGGCCAAACAATCTAGCCAAGAATGGCACAAAATTGGCAAAGTGCTTAGGTCTGTCTTGGCTGCCAACTATTGCCCAACATAGAAATATCACGTCGGCAAAATATTGCCTAATGAATCGCGCCTTAGATGACATTACATGATGCGATGATACATTCGAAGAGCCAAATCATTCCCTGCATGTATCAGATAAGGTGCACTTATAGTTGTGATCCACCCATTTGTGTTCTAGTGAGTACACAGATTCAAGGAGTACATTCAGAGAGTACACGGATTCAAACATGATATCACATCTGAACCTCAGGTTGAGATAGATCCAGTCTGAATTCTTTGGAAACAGAATAACACGGAAAGAATGTAAATACATTTCTACCTAAAAGACTCATGTGGAATTTGAACTTGTTTCGTTCCTGGAATCCATGAATCCATCTCGAATCTGGAGGTAACGAATATGAAATGCGGCTTTTATTGATTGCCTTCTTGAGACATGGCAAAACATACGGTGAAGTACTAAGTACTAAGGATGCTTATAGGGAAAGGAGGAAGGGTACTTCGGTGTTCTGTGCGAAAGTCGAGAACTATGCTGACAACTGGTGGTCTCGATGATAACTTCATTTCCCTGAAACTTTCAGGTGAAAGTTCGGCACATTGGATTGTCCCATCTGTTCGATATTGGATCGATGACGGTAGGGCAATATTGGGGAAACATTATTTCCCCAATATTTGCGGAGCATGGTATCGGCCAAGGTGTAGCCAACGTGCACAATTGTGGACCGGCCAAGAAATGGTGCTACCGTCGGGGGTGCCCGAATAAGAAAAATCACGACACCCTCCGCCAATGATGCACCGAATAATGGCTAACCAAGCTAGAACCATGAATGGGCCAAGCATGACTGCCAATGCCGATGAACTCCTGACGATGCCATGCAAAGGCCACCATTCGCCCAAGCTCTTTGGTGGTCTGGGCATGGCCCAGAAGCATTAGGAACCATTTTCTTTCTCTCATGTGTTACCCGCACTGCGTGAATTGGCTGTGGGAATGTTGATTTCATGTTTTCGGATCGGCACATGAATTGATCCATGAATTCATCGTTAATTCCTGATTCCACCAGGGGCACACGAGGAGCCTCTCCAAGCTTCTCGATCTCAGTGACACCAGTAAACAAGGCACATTTTGCACCAGAAGACCCGGAGTTCATTGCGTGAATCGCGTTCTATAAACATGAAGCATACACGCTTGGTAGCTTCAGTCAATATTTTACTAGGAGGCGGTTATGAACCTCTCGCAAGAACATTAATTAAAATTTAAATTATTGCTATTTCCTTGTTTTTTTTTAAAAAAGCCGTTTATGCACGCCTTTTACTAGTAATGCTGGTCCGATGTTTGCCATTTACTTCAGTTAGACTAGGAAAGTGGAATTAATCCGCAATAAAACTGGCTGGGTGGCTTCTGTAACAAAAAAGGAGCATAATATTCAGTACCATAAACAACCTTCATCCCGAAGCATAACATAACGAAATCCAGTCATATCATAATCCAGACGTTCGAGGAAGTAAGGCGTTTCTACATGACAGTAAAAATATGCTTAAGGGGAAAATAACGCTTCAGCAGTTAATGATGTCATTCACTTCTCACCATTATGACGTGCTAATTTCGATGATGAAATTTCCATCTTTGATTTCTTCCCACATCCCCGCCAGGTGGGTGTGGTGGGTCGAACAGGAGCAGGGAAGACTTCCCTCATTCTGGGGGTCTTCCGTGTCATCGAGAAGGCCGGGGGAGAGGTCACGATCGATGGCATTGACATCAGTCAAATAGGCTTGCATGACCTTCGCTCGAACCTCACGATAATCCCTCAGGTCGGAATAGAATGAACATACCACAGCGTTGCCGAAATTGCAGCTTGATTTATGCCGATAATATTGACTCGGATGAAGGACCCAGTGTTGTTCTCCGGAAGCCTCCGTACGAACGTTTGAGAAGCACACCGACGATGAAATATGGAGGACCCTGGAGCTATCGCACCTCAAGGCCTTTGCGAAGGAACTCCCACAAAGGCTTCGACATCCTGTGGCAGAGGGAGGACAGAACCTCAGCTATGCTGGTATAATAATACCTGGTAATTCTGTTATACTTTTTAATTCTTTGCTTCCTACACAGAAAAAAAATTCCCTCTCTCTCTTTTCCCTCGTAGTTTCAGCCAGAGGCAACTTATTTGTCTTGCGAGGGCTCTGCTGCGGAAGAGCAAAATCCTTGTTCTAGATGAAGCAACGGCTTCCGTGGACCTTGAAACGGACGAACTCATTCAAGTGAGCTGATGTTGTTAAACCCAATTCGTCGCTATGATGTTTCGCTCGTCATCGATGACGTTACCAAGTAGAATTTAATGATCATAACCAGCAAAAAGAAACAAATACAATTATTACCAACTTGTTCCTCGTTCTTTAACAGCCTCTCTTTCGCGAGAAGTAACTGGATTTTTTTCTCACAGAAATCGGAGTTGCAGCAAGTGAGTGCAATTTTCAGAGACGTCACGGTCTGGTCATGTACAATGATAAAGTATACCTCTATCAAACTCCCAGCGGAGAGTTCAAAACACTCCCATATAGTCACTATCGCATCCGGGAAGTATCTGAGGGTAAGGAAGGCCAAGAGGAAATGTGTTAACGAGAAGAAACTTGTTTTTCACCACTCTAAATAATTTTTTGCCTTATTCTCCCTCCCTCTCTCTCTCTCCCTATCTTGTAAGTCTTCATTTCTTGTGAGCCTGATTTTCTCTTTCTCGTTGTATATGTTCCCTTTCTCGCTTTCTTATAAGACTTTATTTCGCGTTTGCGGGATTTTCGTTTTCTTTGCGTTGCTGGTGATGATTTTTTTTTGACTGTTCGCGAAAGAAAATGTATCGCAAACTTTTTATCACTGTCTTCAAAAAATTTTCTGTAGGAATTGTTTCCAGTTGCTAGCTCATCACATGTATTTCCTTTCTCTCTCCCACTCTTCCTCTCTCCATCTCTAGTAAAACTTCATATCGCATTTGCGAGATTTTTCATTTACCATGCACATGATGTGAATTTTTTATTGTCTGCTAGCGAAAGAAAATTGAATCGCTGTGAAAATAGTTTTTTCAGCGCTGTCTTCCAAATAAATTTATATGAAAGTTTTCCAGCTGTTACTTTTCTTATGGTGGAATTTTGCGCCTCCTTTTGCTCAAAGGCGAAACGACTCTTTCATCCTTTAAATTTACAGAGATATTCCTCTCGATGTCATTTCCGCTACAATCCGAGACGTGGACACACACGCACACACACATTCACACTTTAACGGAGAGCGAACATGGAAATAAATTTGACAGAGAAAGATATTGATTTTCACCCCAGTAGTAATGTGATTCTCGTTGGGAATTCCGGTACGGGTAAGTCGTTCTTTATAAAATCCTACTTGAACCATCGTACGCAACCATCAACGTTAAATCGCTTGATAATCTGTTACGCACAATATCAAAAGATCTATGAGGAGATGAAAGCAGCTGCATTTCTTCATATTACCTCTAGTTGTCGAGCATTTAGCATCTCTTCTGTAGGACATGAGAAAGTTCGTATTGCTCCCCGAAATCATCTACAGACAAATCGTAGCCGATGATAACGTGAAAGAAGCACACCTAGAGGATATGAACAGAGAGAAATCGCCGCTGTCGCTGTCGCTGCATAGAGATGGACTCGCAAGAGGGCACAAGACCTTTCATTGTATCTTAATCAAATCTCACCAGAGGAGTTGAAGTGGGGAGAGGATGGATGTGTCACGATACGCAACAATAACCTCCAAAATTCGAATATTTTTGATTATATATCCTTCTTGGTAAATCCTTTAAGTAAAAACTCTCCTCCACATATTGAGCTATTTCTAAAATTTTTGCTTGAAAAAAATTGCCCAAAAATACTCATTCACAACGCGCAGGCAAAAGAGTTCATGAACAATATGAACTCTGCAAAGAAAAAAGAGAACAGGCAAGAAATAGCCACAACTACGATGGTGAAACATGAGGAACCAAGAGTAATTTGGCATAATTATTGAGACAATTTACCGGAGCACAAGACAAATCGTAGCCGATGATAACGTGAAAGAAGCACACCTAGAGGATATGAACAGAGAGAAATCGCCGTTGTCGCCGTCGCTGCATAGAGATGGACTCCCATGCTACGGAGTTCCCAACCGTTATCTCAAGAGGGCACAATACCTTTCATTGTATCTTACTCAAATCTCACCAGACGAGTTGAAGTGGGGAGAGGATGGATGTGTCACGATACGCAACAATAACCTCCAAAATTCTAATATTTTTTATTATATATCCTTCTTGTTAAATCCTTTAAGTAAAAACTCTCCTCCACATATTGAGCTGTTTCTAAAATTTTTGCTTAAAAAAATTGCCCAAAAATACTCATTCACAACGCGCAAGCAAAAGAGTTCATGAACAATATGAGCTCTTCAAAGAAAAAAGAGAACAGGCAAGAAATAGCCACAACTACGATGGTGAAACATGAGGAACCAAGAGTAATTTGGCATAATTATTGAGAGGATTTACCGGAGCACGTTTACAATGAGCAAGTCGAGCAGAGGTCATTTAAAAACGACAACTGCATCCACTTGTTGTCACAGTTCCGTTCGTCAGTGCCAACTGACGAGTCAGCGGACACATTCAATTGTGAGGATGAAGGGAATATTTTTTAGCTCCTGTTCTTTTGCTGTGCGCGGAAAGAGACTAGCACGAGAAATTTCTCTTTTGCGTCTGTCTGGAGACTCAACGTTCATCATGACGTTCATCATCGAGATTCCATATCCATGGCACAGCTTGACGCCCAGGGAGCAAAACCTGGTGCTCGTGCATGAGCAGAGCCTCGCTGGCCTTCCGTACGAGAGCCCCTGGATAAGGGAGATGCCCTGTCGCTATCTCAAACCGATGTTATCATTCATCATGAACGGTATCACAGATGGCGTATTTACTTGGGGAAACGAGGATGCTGTACTCCTTCGACATTTGATAGGACGTGAAGCTTGCGACATTCGCTCGTTCCTGTCACCAGCAGAAATTGCGCAAATAGAAACCATCTGGACTGAACCGTGCAAGATGCATCTTCGGATTGGATATTCCCAGAACGAATGTTCCTTGCGTCGGGCGAGGGTCATTCAGGAAGTGCTCCGCAATGCGCCCAACCTTCTCTCGAGAATCGAATAACAGGAAATGGATTGGGAGACGAGTCTCAGCAAGATGAATGACGTCGACGAGGTGGCAATGTTAGAAAAACAGTGGAGCACGTTTATCTCGTCGATGTCGGAGATCCAGGATGTACCTGCTGTCTTAGAGACCTGAATCGTGTCCTTGCATATCTTTACAACAATAAATGCATATATATGTGTTGTCCCATGACCCTTGCGTTTCATTTCTGTCAGTGAGAGGCATGGATCTACAAGGTACAGAGACGTATCTCAACCTTCTATCTGAGAGACAATCCTGGAGAACTAAAGTGCAAGCTTTCTCCTCCGATCGTCCTTCATGCGTCTCTGCCTTCAGAGATCGGAATTACGGAAATCGAAACGAGTGATAAATTCCTTGTCCTCTCCTCCCGCTATGGCGAGAACAATCTGAGAATCTCTTCGAGATCGAGGGGACAGCATACCGATTCTTCCATCGACTGTCGTTATGACTCGGATGTGAACGTTCTTATTGGACAGATTAACGAGAGTCTGAAAAATCAGTCCTCTTACAAAGAAAATGCAATGGGCAAATTTGAGTATCTGCGAAGAGTGAATCGTGTCAGATTGACATACTTTAAGACATACGTGCATGATCATGATGATGCAATAACATTTGGAAGCAATATTGCTCGAGTTCTGGGATTTGTAGCTGGCAAAGAATATGCTTGTCAAGAGGAACACTTGGCAGAACATGCCCCGGATTTTCAGTCTAGCTTTAAACTCACATGCAACATTTCCGCACCAGTCTATATCAATGGAAAGATCAGCCCTTCACTACGTCTCATTTCTCCCTCTGAGTTTGGGAAAATGGTCCGGTTCAATCCGATATATTACAGACCTGTCGCCGTGAAAGTAATTGAGGATGTATATATTCGAATCGTTGATCAAGATGAGAGGATGGTTCTTTTCCCACCTAATTCGTTTTCTCGTATTGCACTGCACTTGCGTTTAACCACTTTCTAATGTTCATGGCTAGAAAATATCATCCTGAAATCCCCACATTTTCCCGGAAATAAATGAGGGAGTGGTAATGCTCGAGTTCTGGGATTTGTGGCTGGCAAAGAAGATGCTTGTCAAGAGGAACACTTGGCAGAAAATGCACCGGATTTTCAGTCTACCTTTAAACTCACATGCAACATTTCCGCACCAGTCTATATCAATGGAAAGATCAGCCCTTCACTACGTGTCATTTCTCCCTCTGAGTTTGGGAAAAAGGTCCGTTTCAATCCGGTATATTACAGACCTGTCGCCGTGAAAGTAATTGAAGATTTCCACATTCGAATCGTTGATCAGGATGAGAGGATGATACTTTTCCCACCTAATTCGTTTTCTCGTATTGCACTGCACTTGCGTTTAACCACTTTCTAATGTTCATGGCCAGAAAATATCATCCTGAATTCCCCACATTTTCCCGGAAATAGATGAGGGAGTGGTATTCGGTTTAACCCTCATTTCCTGTCTATCCATGTCAGTGTCAACGGTAACGATCGATGGGATAACGATGTACAGCGTGAACCTCGATGCCGAAACGAATGCCTTCACACAACCCTACCTTGTGACACTGGATGCCATAGGAAATGCCAATATGGAATTAGATTTCAAGTCCTATGGAACTCGTCGTTTCATAATTTGTTTTCGACTTGAGTTCGAACCACAATGGCGATCTGGCACACCCAGAGCAGCCTCTATTTAGAACCGGCTACCTAAAGTTGGGCATGTCCTTTGCAAAAGCTTTAGAAAATAACCTGGTTCTAACACTCATGGGTTACTTTGATACACATATCGAGGTGACCAGAAACCGACAGAGCAGCCTCTATTTAGAACCGGCTACCTAAAGTTGGGCATGTCCTTTGCAAAAGCTTTAGAAAATAACCTGGTTTTAACACTCATGGGTTACTTTGATACACATATCGAGGTGACCAGAAACCGACAAGTGTTTACGAGATTTCCTCTTTGAACATCTGCTCAGAGTATAAATGGGGAAATCTCGCAGTGAAGTCCTGCAAAATGGATTCGCGCACGATCGATGCAGTTTTGAGACACCATCCTGCTTGTTTGGGAAAATATCACGGGACCTATGCATCCGATCAATTGGAAAAACTATCCTTCTCAAACTTCCCAGCATGTATCACTTCCAACTGTTGCAGTCGAGAGAAACGTGGGCGACATTTCGTTGCAATGTTCCTCGAGAAAAAGGGTCATGTAGAGTTTTTTGATAGCCTCGGTCGGTTTCCAGGATTTTATGGGCATGCCTTTGAAAGATTCGTGAGCGAGCATGGGGAAAAATCGGCTGTCTACAACGACGTTCAAGTTCAGAGCTCAAGCGCAAAAACATGTGGGGTTCACGTCATTTTCTACCTCATCCATCGATGTCTCGACCACAACATGAAAGAGATTTATCCTCCTCATCTTCCCCCATCATTTCATGACACAATTGTGAATCGTTTTTTGCTGACACTCACTTAGGAATGAATAAATTATAAATCGCATACATGCAGTTTCATTTAGAAATCCCGGATGTGAACTTGCCTCTGAGTCCTGCAGTGAGCAGGGTTAACACATTGTCTGGTTCGCACATTAGACTGATGGAAATGGTCATGGACTGGTTCGCACATCGTTAGGCTAATGGGAATAGTCATGGAGTAAATGTTTTCCTTCCATTTCCCCATAGCTGTCAACATATGCTGATTTTGAAAAAGTAAAAGCCATAATCACTATTTTGAAAAGCAAAAAGCCATAAATACATCACTTCGTAGCGATTTTCACTCTGTCAGTTTCTCACTTCCTTTTTCTGCGTGGTCTTGTCTCTTCTACAACATACTCCTGAGAACCGTAAGTTTGCAAAGATTCGAATACTCCTATTACTTACTGGGAGCTTTCTAATCTCAACTTTCATATTTCCCTTTCCATAGGTGATGCTCTTCCTCACTTATATTTTGAAATTTGAAAATCTATCAGATAGAAATACATTTGAGCTATGGTTAAAAGATTGTGTCGGGGGTGTTGTGGATGTAGTGAAGGCTGAAAGAGAGGTGACCTTATTTCTGCGCCCCTCTGGGGCCACAGTTGGGCTCAAGAGAGAGATAATAGTTGCATGGGTAAGGAATATCCCATGCAAAATTTTCACCTGGGTAGGTGATGGTGAACTGAAGAAATGCTTTTGTCTGCTGTGAAGACTGCAGAAGAAATGCAAGCAAATTAGTAAGCTCATCACGAATCTCTTCCCAAATTCCATTCCACATTTGAAATAATTAATATACCTTTCATTTACAGTTATGATGAAGATTGGGATGTTCCAGAGGAAGAGGGAGGAGGAAAAAGTTTTTAAAATTAAATTAATTCCCCCTTCATTCCACTGTTCCTTCATGAATAAAAAAAATCAGAGTAATCTACCATTGATATTCACTTTAAAAAAATACAAATTCGTCACAAATGTAACCAAAGATGTGTTTAACACATCCTGTCTTTCACGTAGAGACACTCATGGCCAGCGTCATTCAAGCTTTCTCCCGTGACAGCTTTTTCAGATCTTAGATCATTTATTCATGCTTCTATTCTTTACTAGGATCATGTACGTCATCAGGGTGCACTCTGCAGAGGAGATATATGATGGTGCTGTTATCAGTACTGGCGCATGTGAAATTAGAGGTGACTTCTCCACATACTATCGTACTCAAACTCGAAGGAGATAATCGACTCCGGAAGAAGACCATTGAAGAGAAACTCGGGAGCCCACGTTCGTCCGTGAGATGGCATGCAGACGACGCGGACATCGAAAAATGTATCAAGACGGAGGAAGTCCGAGCTAAATATAATGTTGTCTGGTAATACCATTCCATACCTCATACAATTTTTAAAAATCCCTGTATGCATTTTTCATCAGAGACACACGCATTCTTTCCATCCATATTAGTTAACTATTTCACTGAAATAATATTTTGGTATGTTCCCCGCTGTATATTCTTCTCATTCTCTTCACAGGAACGATAGAGGCTGAGGAGAAATCATCAGAGACACACGCATTCTTTCCATCCATATTAGTTAACTATTTCACTGAAATAATATTTTGGTATGTTCCTCGCTGTATATTCTTCTCATTCTCTTCACAGAAACGATAGAGGCTGAAGAGAATCAATTTTCCCAGACCCCTGCTCCTGTTCCGAGTACATGACTTCATATCCCTTCAAAAGTTCTTCCGCTCTCAAAAACTCACGTTTGGATTGCTTACATTCACATCGCAACCATCATTATCAATATATTTCAATACTTTCCCTTGTTCTTCGTATATCGTGTCTGTTGAGGTAGGGATTGGCAATGAGTGAATTGCAATTAAGGTTCCTTTTCCATCAACGCATATTTTCTAGTCTCATTTGGTTGCTCCCCCTCATCCACGTATCTGAGAGACGTGATGGGAGGGGAGTTGGAGAGAGTTCCTCATGCGACACAGAATCCTTGACCGTCAGGGGCCGAGGCTGTAAAAGCAGAAGAGCGTGACAGAAGAAACCACCACAATCATTACTCATAGGAGATAATGTGTCCAAACACGTTGGCGTAATCGATCCTTCCATCCGACCCT